TACAGGCCTCTCTCATCTTTTTTAGTGGGAGAACTTGCACAATTGGTGGCTGACTAAATACTTTTTTGCCCCACTGTATAGTGCATAGGATAATTATTAGAAATAAACATTCTTTGCTTAGTTGCTTTTGTTTTAGGCATGAAGTCTGTCAGGGAAATGTTCATAGGCTGTTATGTTGTGAGGCACTGAGATATACTTTTTGTTTTCTTCCCAAGATCTTAAAGGAAGTCACAATATAGTTGATTCTAAGTTGCAGAGAAACCTTGAATATGCAGCAATCACTAGTTCATGAACTTAGGGCAGGAAAACAGGAAGGCATGAGAAAGAAAGTTTGCCCCATTTTAATTCCCTTTGGTGTAAGAGGAAGAGAAGGAAAAATGCTGCCAGGCTTTCAAGATTCTGTTATTTTAGTCTAAATCAATAGAGTTGAGTTCTGGTGTCTTTTTGTTTTTGTTTTTTTTTTTTTCTTGTGGTGTCTGTTACCTGACCTGGTCTACTTCAAAGGGCTGACACGAGTATGTAAGTACACAAGCAAAATTGGTTAACTGTGAACTAAACCTTTGCTAAAAAAAAAAAAAAAAAGCATGCACACTGCCTTCCCAGCCAGGTATGGCAGACTACAAGACCCACAATAGCCAACTCATTGATTAAGTACACTGTAGACTACATGTCTGGTGGGCAGAGAAGCTTAAATCAAGTTTGTGAATAACTGACCAAGATCTAGGAAACTGCATGGAACAAAGGAGAGAGTGAACAAAGAGGAAGACCTTTTTACAAGTTCGATAGGGAAAACATATACCATTCTTAAATTTTACAGGGCAAATTCACACAAATATTTATTTCTGCTTGAGAAATTAAGTACAACCCAAGCAACCCTGAATCAAACCAGAGAAATTCTCATAATCATAGCAGCTGGATAAAGGCATATTTAACAACATAGAAGCAGAGGCAGACAGTGTGTGCAATCTCACTGTTAAGTCAGTTTCACAGCAAGCTATTTAAATATAAAACCAGATTTTGTGCTGGTTGTCTGTACCAAATTTGGGATGCTAGAAAAATTAGTTTGGTTCACATTAAGTTTGCATTTTCCCAAATTTTATTCAGGAAAATGTACATCTGAGAAAGTCACATACCAAAAGCTTTGATTGAATACATGCAAAACTGAAATGGACTACATATAAACTGTTCTAGACATCCCTCTGTTGCAGTGGGTTAGGTACATAAGAGTCCACTCTGTTCTTCTGACAAGATACAACAAGATATTTGATTTCTGACTATTCTTTCTCCATAGCATGTAAGAAACTAAGTCACTTATCAAGGATAAGTTTGGAAATCTTAGAAACAAATAGGTTCAGAAACAAAATATTAGCATGGATTCTAGCTATGACTTCCACCTGCATGTTGTTCTGTTCTGTTCTATTCCCCCATTCTTCCCCCAAATTTTCTACTTCTCTCTAAATTGTCAGGCTTCTATTAGGAGCAGGTATGCACAACTTCAGTTAGTTAATCATCCATTTCTGGGTGGAGATAGTCTGGTCACAGTAGGGGATGGGTTGGTCACCTCTCCTTGGATTATTGTGACATCTTCTGTGAGTCTACCTTTGAAGATGGTTTGGAGATTGCAGCTGGTACAGAATGCTAAGGCAAGAAAAGTATTTGGGCATACATTACTCCTGTTCTGTGAGCAGTGCATTAGCTGCCAGTAAAATACAGGGGTGCATTTCAGATGCTGATTCTTTAATATTTTGTGATTTTATTATTGGAAGCCACCCTAAGATGATGGTGCCAGTTATACATCCAAATAAGCCTTCTAAATATGCTCAATCCTCAGATAGCTGTAGTTTATTCCCCTTGATATTTCTTAATGGGAAGCACTGGGTTCTCTTCTTCCATATCCTTACTGCACCTTTTCTGGCTGTATCAACCAAATTCAAAGGTATGTACTAGACTATTGTTTCTAGTGTTCTATCCTGAATAAATTGCTTTTTAAAAACTCCTATGGCCTGATATGAGTAGATGCCTACATTCTTAGTTTGATCTTCTCAGCTAAGCTACTGCACAGGAGAATGCCAATATCCCTTCCCCCTGTGGACTGTGAAGGGTAGGCTTTAGAAACTGGAGGAGTCAGGACTGCGAACTAGATCTCTCCCTCCTAAAGTGGAACAGTGGGATTCTAAAATAATTCAATAGATGACAGTGGTAAAGACTAAATTGGTTATTTTATGGTAGATTTGGCTCCAATGGTAAACCGATAGAACCGTATATCCATTTAATGTCTTACCTAGGAACCACCTACTTCATCCCCCAAGGTTAGGTTAAGATGAGGACAAGAAAGACACGGGACATGCAATATGCTGATTTTAGGCATGTTTTAACTGTATGCTTCCCTCCCAAAGCAACCCAGTTTTGTCTATACCTAAGAAGATTTAAGCATACTTTCTTCTTAGTACAAATAAGTTAGCTCAACTTATTCTGATTTAACTTCATAGGTTACCAGCCCCTCTGCCAGCTTTTAGTTAGAATGCATTTTCTTTTGATTCTGCTGGGAGCAGTGACAAAAGAAGATATAAGAATCTTGCAAAAATTAGGGGAATTTTATTTCTACAAATATGCTATTCCAAGATGTACGAAACTTTATATTTGAACATTTCAGTTAAGTTTCAAAGACAAAAGTTTTGAGTGTGTAATGAACAACAGTAATACCATAAATAATTTTAATACATTTTTGCATAAGGTGCCAGCAGAAAGCTTTGGGGGGGGGCATTTTATTGGTGCTGCAGATTTGAGTATTTTAAAAAACTGCATGAAACTTTTAACAGTAAATACACTTCTGAGAGGTGGGAAGTACTACTCTTATAGAAAACTGGTATGTGGAGGCCATCCTAGGTAATCATTAATGAACCCCAAGACAATTTGCGATATGACATAGTCTTATTTATAATATTCAATGGCAACTCTACCCTAAAGATTGAAACTTTAAAGAGATTTAAATGGAAGATTTAAATGGAAGATTGCTCAGATGCCTTAACGTTTTCAGCACCCATAAATAATTATTAGAATACTTTGGAGAAGACTATAGCAGTAAAATAGATATAACCTCAAATAATTTTGCAGAAATCTGTCCTAAAAAATATTAGCATTATTTTTTTACTTCCAAATATACCTGACCATTTCTATTAGCAGGATCACTGTTTAACTTAAGACACTTTAAAAAAAACAATTAACAACATAGAACATGAATACAACAACTGGGAAATTTGTCATGTTGGATATTATTTTTTACTTGGTGTGAAAATTTTACTGAAAGTTTACAAGTGGGGAAGGTATACTTCTTAGGAGAAATACTCAGATTTGGGTAAACCTTCTTGATACATATTATAGCACACAATTTGTGTTTCTTCAAAATTTTATTTCAATTTAAATTAAGGGGCCAGCCAGATCTTCTAATAAGAAATGCATTCATTTGAAGGGATGAAATGCTTTAGTGGAAGTAGATTTACAATTGTACACATTTAGAAAAGAAACAAAAAGCTCACATTAAATAACTTTTAGTAATATCTTTAAGCCTTCACACAGATAAGAAACCATTTCCAGTACAATAGTTTTTAATATGAATAGCACATCAAATGGTCTTAAATACAACTTTTTTCTGAAAGCCAACACTCCAAGGATTAATGTTTTTTTAAAAGTATAGCCATTTTGTCCCATGCCAAATAATAGAGAAGCAAAATCAATATCCAGATCCATCTTTTAACTTTCATATATCTATTTAGATATATATGTGTGTGTGTGTGTGTATGTACACACACACACACACAGAGATGTATATATACACACACACATATACAACTTTTAGCATGTCTATATTTTTTTCCTAAAAGTGGAAGCCTTATGCATAATGGAGAATAACTTGCCACCTAATATTTCCTTGTCTTAGCTATAATAAACCAAAATATAAAAAAAGGACAGAGTACTGAACTATAATATTACCACCTCCATGGTTGTTTTGCCTGTTTATATAAATGATTCAATAAAGGATTATGATTTTTTTTTCAGTAGATATTACAGACCATTTTGCAAAGGACAAATGGTTTATGGCTGCTGAAAGAAGCATAGCCATGTTGATATCCAACATTATCAGAATCCTATTTGCTGGACTGTATTCCAACTTCCTTCATGAAGGCTTTAAAAATTAGCTAAAATGTCAATCAGCAGATTAATCATTTGTGAAATAATTTAATCATATAGAAGCTAGAAAGCAATAAATAATTGTATAGCATTCTCAGTCAGATTCAATCATGCGGAATTTGAACTTTCATACCCCTAATTCACAAAGTTGGCTGGTTGTGATCTCAGTACTACTATTACGATGAATAGATAAGATTTTGATAACATAGTTTAGATATATCTAGCATTTCTGTTATGATCACAGTAACAAAAAAGTGGTGCAAAATCAGTCTTTAAAAAAAATAAATACTGATAGTTTGCAGCATTAAGGAACAAGATATTGACACTAGGACAGTTATGAAAATTATGGTTGTTGAAGGGGAAATATAAGTTAAATACCAACACAACTATTATACTAACTATATGAAAAGAGAGCTTCTCTTTATACCCACAAGAAAAAACAAATCTGAATTAATTTAGCATAATCTTTATAATTTACAATTGGCCGAACACAGCACTAACATAAATGGAGAAGGCCAACATTAAAGAATACAAGTTAGTGGGTTCCAGAGCTATTTTTTTAGTCTACTCTAACTGATGGCACTGCATTATATCTGCAAATACAGAAAAAAATGGATTCTTTTTAATGCTGCAGTATTTAAGAAATGTGAAATCAGTATTTTCATGTGATCCAAAGTATCATTTCACATGAGCTTTCATTTTGCAAAACTCAGTATCAGTATCAGGTAAAAGTTACAGACTAATACATTAACATTCCTCTGCTGTACAAATTAAATCATTTTTAAAGAAATGAGCAGCGTAGGAGTTATATACAGAAGAAAACAAGCATTGTTGAAATGAAATACAAAGTGTCACTGCTAAGCTCTATTGTCTGAAACACTTTGAAGTAAAATTAACAAAAAAATTTATAATGTATTTCCAAGTCTACATCTCAATTCTCAGAAAATCACTCTCAAAAACAAACTATAAAGCAATGAAAGGCATATATACATTTTCCTTATGAACTCTGAGATGTCACTCTTAGAAGTTGCTATGTTTCAGTATCAATTTTATTTGCAAGACAACTGTTCATCCCAGAAAGCTCACATCTTAGATACATTTCCCCTTTGATTACAATTAAAGCACTGCACATTTTTTTTAAAAAAATCAAGGCATATAATCTTATACTATGGTGCCAGATATGCACAGATCACGTTGTGCTCGCATCTCATACAAGGTTAAGTGCAAACATATGGATTGAATCAGATTTGCTAGCATGCACCCTGTCGCAAACTACTCTAATACCGTCTCTCCTATCCCAAACTATCTTCTATGTTTGTTTCATGAACCAATAATCTTTCCCATCCCACCCCCACCCCGGACTTCTAAAAACAAGCAGTGTGCTTGAATTCAGACACAAATATCAAGAAAGTCCACATTGTGCAAGAAAGCAGCAGCTAGGTTTGTCAACTCGGACTAAAAAATAAAGAGAAGAAAAAAAACAAACAAACTGTTCACTGAACAGCAGATTAGCAGTAATGTTCCTCATGAAGTGATAAGAGTGCCTGATGCTGAATATCTAACAGCAAATGCTGAATTTGGATTTAATATTTTAGGGGTTTATAGAAGATTAGGCTTCTTGTTGTGCTGGTCTTTTCAAATCCCTGATCTGTTTAACTAAATAGGTCTTCTCATCATTAAATTGTTCATCCTCGGTCCTGTCGTTCTGAAACTTGCTGAGAAACTCAATAAGTTTGGTCTGGTTCTTTAAGAGAATATCTAATATAGGTTGCGTCTTGTTAGGATTGGCTACAAACACCTGCAAAAAATTTTTCAGAAAAATAAAAATTAAAATCAGAATGTATTAGAAAAAATTAGCAGAGGAATAGAGTTTTCTCAACACTATGCATAAAATTACAAGGACTGAAGTACAATGTACCATATGCAACACATGCATAAGCATTAGGGTTTCCCAATTATTCAAATCCTACTATCCAATTACATTGTATTGTGGTGGTAGATCAGTATTAATCATTTTCATCTCCATTTAAATAACAATATTATTTCAAAGTGATCTTTTTTACCTTAAAGACATGGAAGGCCTCAAACTGAATGTTGCGACTTTTGTCCCGTAAAAGATTCATCATTAGCTTGAGATTTTCAGGTTTACTGATATATTTTGTCATAATTGTGAAGTTGTGTCTATCCAGTAGCAATTCACCAAGTAGCTATAGAATAAGAGAACAGGATAGTTTTTTCATAAGGATTATAAAGCACACAGGCAGCGGTAGTTAACAGAGCCAATGGTTGTATTCAAACCTTTGTTCTTTTTGCACAATTATTATTTTCAAAAGAGTAGTGATATTAGGCTAATTTACTATTATGCCTTATTCTCTGCTATGTAAATTGATGAGTGTATTGTCGAAGGCTTTCATGACCGGCATACGATGGCTGGTGTGGGTCTTCCGGGCTGTGTGGCCGTGGTCTTGAAGTTTTGT